GTGAGGGTGTGAGGGTGTGTGTGTGTGTGTGTGTATGTGTGTGTGTGTGTGTGTGTGTGTGTGTGTGTGTGTTTCTCACTTTCCTTCACGCTCTCCCTCTTCCCTCCTCTTTCCTATCTTCCCCATCCATGCCCTCACTCTTTCACTTCGCCTCCCCTTGTCTCCTGGCTTTAGAAAACTGTATAATTATAAACCGCAGACTTCTACAATATGCACTCTTTTGGTTATAAAGAGCAAAATGTTCCTCTATCTTTTATCCAGTATTCCCGATTAACTTGTTGGACTTTAGTCATACTTTTCCCAAACGGGACACGAGAATAGTAACTTCACAGAACATAATCCACTTAACTCCCAAATTATCGAGTCCAGGTTTGCTTTTTGATTTTTTGGTTTTTTTTCTTTTTTGAAAGATTTCGTTCCTAAAATCTCCCACAAGACAGGAAGGGGTTGGATGGGGAGGGGGGGGGTTGGCTGTCTCTGTGAGTAATGGATAGCAGAGAGGGCACGGGTCAGTTATTCTCTCTCTCTCTCTCTCTCTCTCTCTCTCTCTCTCTCTCTCTCTCTCTCTCTCTCTCTCTCTCTCTCCCCCCTCCCACGGTCTCTCTCTGTCTGTCTCTCTCTCCCCGCTCCCCCCTCTCTCTCTCCAGCTGATCTGTCTCTCTCTGTCTGCCTCCCCCTCCGTGCTCTCTCTCCATATCTCTCTCTGTCTCTCTCTCCCTCTCTCTCCCCCTCTCTCTCCATCTCTCTCCCGAGCTCAGCGCTCAACACCTCGGCACAACGATCTCATTAGTTTGAAGTACAGTAGACTTACTCGATCTCAACACGTTTGGGCGGCACCCATTGTTGAGGTAAACCATAGATGGACAATGGGTGAGTGTCGCCCACACATAAATGAATCTAGTTACCATTTATTAAATTCGTGATAGCCGACAATGTTTATGAGTATTCTAGGGCAATGATAGTACAGTTGTAAATCGCATAGAACTTGTTCTATAGCATGGATATGCACTGGATTCATTACGTAAATAGTATAAATGCAAGTATTATTATTATTTGTATTTTTTTCCCTGCCCATTTATATGAGACTGACGCCGTTTGATCAGATATCTAGTAGAAAAAAAGTGCATATGATAGTGTGTCAATAGTGGCGTC